TTAAATCTCAACAGCGTAAAGCTTTGGTTTCTTATGTTATGGCTGGTGACCCTCATCCACAGGTAACAGTTCCTTTGTTACATCAGATGGTCGAGGCGGGTGTAGATGTGATTGAACTCGGTCTTCCATTTTCAGATCCTATGGCAGATGGCCCTGTGATTGCCCTTGCCGCAGAACGCGCATTGGCAGGTGGTACCAATACCTTAGATGCTTTGAATATGGTCAAAGAGTTCCGTCAAAAGGATCAAGAGACCCCAGTCGTATTGATGGGTTATCTGAATCCAGTTGAAGTGATTGGTTATGAAAAGTTTGTATCGACTGCGCATGCATGTGGTGTCGATGGCATTCTACTGGTGGACCTACCGCCAGAAGAAGCAGCAGAGCTTGATGTTGTATTGAAGCAATTTGATATGGATCAAATCTTTTTACTAGCGCCAACCTCAACGGACGAACGCATTAAACATGTGGTGAAACAGGCGAGTGGTTTCATCTATTACGTGTCTTTAAAAGGGGTCACAGGTGCAGCAACTTTAGACGTTGCTGAAGCTGCAAACCGAATTGCAAAAATTAAAGCAGAAACAGATATTCCTGTCGGTGTTGGTTTTGGGATCAGTGATGCGACATCTGCCAAAGCAATGGGCGGAGTGGCTGATGCTGTGATTGTTGGTAGTGCTTTTGTTAAGCAATTTGCAAGCTTAGCACCAGAACAAGCCGTGGTTGAAACGGTTAATAAAGTCAAGGAGCTTCGAGCAGCGCTCGATGAGTTAGTATGAGTCAAGATGTTAAATCAGGGAAAATCCTAAGCCCATCGACGCCATGGACTGAACGTGGTGTACCCGGTATTCAAGTACCTGATGAGCAAACCTCACTCAAGGCGACGTTTACAGAACCAACGATTGAATGCCCTGAGTGCCATGCACTTGTTACACGTACTGCAATGTCATTTAACGCGTATGTTTGCCCTCAGTGTGATGAACATTTGCGTATGAAAGCCCGTGATCGTTTGAATTGGTTCTTTGACCAAGTGCAAACAGAATTGGGACAAGAATTTAAAGCCAAAGATCCGTTGAAATTTGTCGACTCAAAGCCATATCCAGCGCGTATGAGTGAAGCACAGACCAAAACAGGTGAAACTGAAGCCTTGGTGGTGATGCAAGGTTTACTCAAAGGTATTCCTTTGATTGCCTGTGCCTTTGAATTTGACTTCATGGGTGGTTCAATGGGTACGGTTGTTGGTGACCGTTTTGTGCAAGCGGCTGAAAAAGCCATTGCGGACAAACAACCTCTGATTTGCTTTGCTGCTTCAGGCGGTGCGCGTATGCAAGAAGGTATGTTGTCTTTGATGCAAATGGCGCGTACTTCAGCGGCCATCCAAAAAATGAAAGATGCTGGCTTACCTTATTTGGTGGTGTTGACGCATCCTGTTTACGGTGGTGTAACGGCATCTTTAGCGATGCTCGGTGATGTACATATTGCAGAACCGAAAGCGATGATTGGTTTCGCTGGTAAACGGGTGATCGAACAAACTGTGCGTGAAAAGCTAGAAGAGCCGTTCCAGCGTGCGGAATACTTGCTTGATCATGGTGTAATCGATCAAATTGTTCACCGTCACGCATTACGTGATACAGTTTATCGTATTGTCGCGAAACTGATGAATTTGTCTTGAACACAGCACCACTTGTAACAGACTCTTTAGAAACATGGCTCGATTATTGGGGCCATGTTCACGTTACGGGGATTGATTTAGGATTGGAACGGGTTATTCCTGTAGCTGAAAAGCTCGGTGTAACGCGTCCCGATGCCAAAGTTTTAACTGTAGCGGGAACCAACGGAAAAGGTTCGACCACCACCACACTGGCTGCCATTTTAAATGCGCAAGGCTATAAGGTGGGACTGTATCAGTCACCACATATTTACCGTTTTAATGAGCGGGTTAAATTACGTGGTGTAGAGGTCGATAACCAAAGCTTGGTCGATGCTTTTGTACAAGTGGATCAAGCGCGCCGTGATTGTGATTTAAGCCTCTCGTTCTTTGAGGCGACCACACTCGCGGCTTTTGTCATTTTTAAAGACCAAGCATGTGATGTTTGGGTCCTTGAAGTTGGTCTAGGTGGTCGCTTAGATGTGGTCAACGTGATTGAACCCGATGTTGCGGTGATCACCAATATTGGTTTAGACCATACTGACTGGCTGGGCGATACCATTGAAAAGATTGCCTTTGAAAAGGCAGGCATTATCCGTCCCAATATTCCTGTGGTGTTTGGCGGCTTACAACAAATCCCTCAAGCGATTATCGATAAAGCGGATGCTTGTGCTGCAAAACTTTATGCAGTGAATCGTGACTATTTTTATCAACTTAGTGAGCATGGTCAGTCGTGGATGTTTGCATCTAGCGGCACCACTTTAAATTTACCTCTCGGCACATTGGCGGTTGAGAATATTTCAACAGCTGTTGCTGCTGTTTTATTGAGTGGTTTAACTGTCACTCAAGCGGCTATTTCTGAAGGAATTCAAAACGCAAAATTGCAAGGTCGTTTTGAAATTCGCCAAATACAGAACAAAACGGTAATTTTTGATGCAGGGCATAACCCGCATGGTGTTGCTTTTTTATTAAATCAATTGCGAAATTTCCTAAAATACAATAAACAGTACACTGAAGTAGTCAGTGTTTTCTCGATGTTGGCAGATAAAGATGTGAAATCTGTCACAGAGTTATTGAAAGATTCCATACAAATGTGGAAAATTGCGGCATTAACTGTCCCGCGTGCAGCTCCAATTGAACAATTGGATCAAGCGCTGCAAGGGCAACATGTGCAGCACTTTGACAGTGTGAAATTGGCTTTTAAATCAGCGCTCGACGAAACAAAGAATAATCAGCTGATTTTGGTATGTGGTTCATTTCATACCTTAGAAGCGGTATGGGAGTATTTGGAAGAATGTCAATGAATAGCAAACAACGTTGGATGGGTGGCGTTGTTTTATTAGGTGGTGGTGTCCTTTTGGCGGCATTACTGCTTAAAGGCAAAGAAGAAATACATCAAAATAATATTAAAACACCAGAGCTAGTCACACAAAATGTGCAACGCAATGCCGAAGGTGAGTTGGTTCAACTTCAGCCGTTAACGGTTGATGTCGAAACAGAAAAGCGTTTACTGGAACAGCAACGTGTAGCACGTGAAAAATCGGTTGCTGAACAAGAAGCTCGTGCGGCCGAATTTTTAGCAATGCAACAGCAAGCCGAAGCAGATGCTGCACGTAAAGCAGCAGAAGAATATGCTGCGTTGAATGCGCACCGTAATGCTGCACAGCAAAGCTCGGACAACATTCCACCAGAATTGGTTGAAGATGAAAAAGCCAAGCAACAGCGAATTGCTGCGGACAAAGCGGCTGAAGTAAAGAAGTTGGAACAGCAAAAGCTGCAAGCGCGTACTGAAGCTGAAAAAGCAGCGGCTGCAAAAAAACTGGCTGAGCAAAAAGCCTTAGCAGAAAAGCAAGCACTTGAAGATAAAGCTAAGCGAGAAGCAGAGGCTAAACGTAAAGCAGAAGACGAGCGTAAGGCTGAAGCGAAAAAAGAAGCTGAACGTAAAGCAGATGCTGAGAAAAAAGCGGAAGACAAACGTAAGGCAGATGAAAAGCGTAAAGCTGATGAAGCCAAGAAAAAGGCGGAAGCTGAGAAAGCGCGTGATTTGCTTGAACATGGCGATAAGCAATGGATGGTACAGGTGGCATTGGCTGCCAATGAAGCCAATGCGGATGCACTGGCTGCTAAGCTTCGTGCCAAGGGCTATAAGGTCACTAAAAGTCCAACCTCTAAAGGCGTACGGATTATGGTGGGGCCATCTAAAGACCGTGATACTGCCGATGCAGCCCGCAAGAAGATTACTTCAGATGCGAGCCTCGGCATGAAGTCCGCATGGGTGATTGACTGGGTGCCACTCGACAAACG